AAAAAAAGAAGGAAAATTCCTTTTTTTTTTTTTTTTTTTTTTTTTTTTTTTTGTGACCGGTAAGGGGATCACAACCCTTGGCTTTGTGTCGTCCGCACCACGCTCAGCCAGTGAGCGCACTGGCCAGTCCTATATAGGATCCGAACCCGCAGCGGGAGCGCCGCTGCACTTCCAGCGCTGCACTCTCCTGAGTGCACCACGGGGCCGGCCCAGGAAAGTCACTTTCTGACCTTCTGCCTTTCTCCCGTGAAGCACATCATAAGACCCTCATTCGAGAGTTGCCCTCCCTATACCCAGAGGAAAAGAACATCCTTGTTTCTGAAGACAGTTTCTGGTGAAGAGGATGAGATGCCCACTTGCTCTGGAGCCTGCACATGCAATCCTGAGACAACTGACAAAAAGCTAGCAGAAAGGTAAGAATTCTTTCCAAGTCCTGCTCTCCCAGATCTTTGTCAGAGTAGCTGGTCAAGAAAGGTAAAAATGTATCCTTGTCCCTTTCTTTCCAATTTCAGATTAGCAGGAGAAAAACACTTGTTTGGTTCGTAACTCTTCTGTTAACTTGGTTTTGGGTACCCATTAGTTATGAATGCTTTCCCTCCCAGGGACAGCTATGGCTCTCCTCTTTGTCTCGTTTTGTGACAAAACGAGAACTTGGTCTGACATTCAGTCTGTCGGGGGGCATGTGTGTTTTCAGTTTTGCATGTGCAGGCAGCCACTTTCAGGTTGGGGGCCACAAGAACATGGCTGGACAAAAATGTGGGTTATACCCCATTTGCAGCTAACATGTCGACTGTCACCACCTCTCGGGGTGGGGGTGGGGAGGTGTTATCTGTGTCTTTCTTTTGGCTACCCTTGGCAGTGATCTGAATCTTGGGAAGGCGCATCTTTTTACACCTTCTTTTGAGGCCTCCTCTTTCATCCATGAGAAGTCATATAAGCCTTATTGGTTTCGGTTCTAAGTCATTTGATAAGCACTTCCGGTTATAAAAATGGAGTTCAATACAGCCAGAAAAATTTACTGTTTCTCCTGGCTGAAATCTGATAATAAGATATGTGAAAGGACTTTTACTTTTTTTTAAGACCTCTATAGTCAGGAGTTTGCCAAATTGCAGGCTGACATTCAGAGCCAGACAGGAGCTATACATATTCCTTGAAGGCCTCTCTGTTCTCTGTTCGGTCCTGTTTCTTCCCTGGGACTTCTCAGTCAACTGAAACCCCGCTTCTCAAACCCCTGCTGACTCTACACTCTACCAACTCTGTCCACCTCTTTCTTGTTGGAACTTCACTGGTCTCTTTAGGAAGCCACTTCTTTCCATCAGCTTCTGCTCCTCCTTCCTTCTTTTGCCACCTTCAATCTTCCATTCAGTTCCCTGAGTCCTTCATATTGCTTCCTTCAAGCCCCTACCTCCTGCATCCCTCTATCCCTGCCAGACCTTTTCCCTTCCCACTCCAGCTCCTCAGTCACTTGAACTTTAAGATCCTTGCTCTCAACAGACTCAAAGGTTCCCTCAAAAGCAACTATCTGAGACTGAGAAAGGAAAAAACCACAGCTTCCATAACTTTACATATCAGGGCAAGGGAAGGTCTTAAAGGTCTTCTCCACAAATATTGGTAAACAGGTAACCTTAATTTGTCCCATTGCCAAAAGCATAAAATAGAGAAAAGATGAGAGCTATTCTATAAACCACTGAGTTTTAAAGCTATATGATCTTGGCATCTGTGTATGTATATATGTGTTTAAAAAAAAAAAAAAGGTATTCAGTTTTGTATTACGGTATTTTTCCAATACTAAAGAAGTGAGTTAATCCAACAGCAACAACAAAAAAATTACCATAGTTTCAATGATGATGGTAAGGTTACCTAAGCCATCAGTCAGAGCTACGTAGCTTCCTCCTTTCTCTAAATGGCCAACTGTCTTCAGGTAATACCAACCTGGTTGAGTAAACTGAGTGGTATGAGCTACAAAAAAGCAGAGAAAGACCCAAATAAGATAAAAATGGTGATAATAGAGTCTCTTAAAAAAAAAAAAGGAAAAAAAGCTGTCTACTGATTTGAATCTGACTGAGTCTAACAAGCTGTTTCCTATTTTGGAGCAAAATACCTGCCAACCTCATGTTTCAACTTTTAAATAATTAATCTAGGTAAATGGTATAATTGCAGGAAGATTCTTGAAATGATGAGTAAACATAAACCTGTCAGTTGAAGAATATTGATTAGTCTTCTTTTTCCAAGAGCAAAATAAAATTATCCTCTCCCAAACTTCATCTGTTTTTAACCTATCCTAAAACTACTACAAAAAAAAAGAGGTTAAAAAAGTAAACAATGCATTTCAGAAACTAAATATGCATTACGTTAACTCCTTAAATTATTCATTCAAAAATATGGAAAAATTAAGGGCCGGCCCGGTGGCGCACTGGAGAGTGCACTGCTTGGGAGCGCGGCGGCGCTCCCGCCGAGGGTTCGGATCCCATGTGGAGACCGGTTCCCGCTCACTGGCTGAGCGCGGTGCGGGCGCAACACCGAGGGTTGCGATCCCGTTGCCGGTCCCCAGTACGGGGGCGGCACCGGGGGTTGTGATCCCGTTTCCGGTCAGTAAAAAAAAAAAAAAAAAAATGGAAAAATTAAGTTGGACTTGTAAATCTTTGTTGGTTAATCTTCAAATGTTGAAATTTTTGGTCACACTATCTAGATGAACTAATGCACTCTTCTAATTTTGTGAATGTCAGGGGTGGGACAGGCAATATTGCTCAGCACATTTTCAGGACCAGCTTTGAAGGTGAGCAATCAATATATATGTTATGGAAGTAAATTTGTTTGAAAAACTAAGTGCCCTCATATCATATGAGTAATATAAAATTTTCAGCATGTGCTCATTTTCTAACTATATGAGAGTCATGATTATACCTTTTTCTGAAAATTACCTTTTAACAACACACATCAGTAAATTTAGGGAACAATCTAAAGCCATGATATTTCATATAACTTTTACATTTACTTATTCATTTAATGATTTAATAAATACAAAATTTGTTAATAATTTAATATTTGTTCACCTTTGATTTTGTTAGCACACTATTCTAGCCAACAAAACTTTACTAATATAAAAGAGTAAAATGTCCCCAAGACTAACTTTTATTTTTACTTTTAATTTTTAATTTTACATTTGTAATTATTCAAAAATGTATTTTGATATAATGAAAGGTATTTTTAGACTTCAAAAATAAATGTTCTTTTTTTAAGATAAAATAAAATGATTATTTGCAAAAGCATAAAAGGAAAATAAATTTAACTATATTTCCCATTCAATTATAACCATTATTTATATTGTAATATACAAATGATAAAAACACAGTTACTCTAAACATATAAATTTTCAAAGTTAATATAATTTATATACAGCATGATATCTTGATTTTTATCAATTGCATTGTATTGTAACCATCCCAAGACTAATTTCAAGACTTTTAGATACTCTGAGTTGGAACAAACCTTTACAAATACAGCATTTCATTAGCAATTATCATAATTTGTAATCATACACTTAGATGTTTACCTATTTGTGCTTCATCATGAGATAACTCTTCCTTTTCCTCTTCCTGTCCTCTTTTCCTTCTCCCCCTCCCCCACTCTTTTCTAAGATCCTGGACTTAAAATAATCAAAAATCAAAATTGGAATACAGAAAGTAATCTAGTTGCCCAAAATATTCTTAAAAAACACTGTGGCAAATCTTGCTTAAAATAGAGACATACACTCAACACATGCACACACACACTTTGTACAATCTCTTCTGTTTTCTGCTATGTCTCTTAGAGAGGAATTTAGGGAGAGATGGAATCTGAACCATACCTGATATCCAGAGTGGAGAGTCTACTACATAGTGTCCACTCCATGGCTCCTGGGCAGTCATCAAGCCGCATCGCCCATAAGGCAACTGTTCATAATAACTAGCTACCAAATTCCAAGCGATTGTGCTAAAAGATTTGTTTGATAAAAGAGAAACACAAAGATAATTTGTGATAAAAATGTAGATGTCTAAAAGCCTGAAGTAAAAAGATCTTATCACAGTTATATAAATATATGTAAGTGATCATAAAATGACCACCCAACACAAGAAAATATAAGTTGCCTAAGTTCACTCACGTTCTGAAAAATCCAGTGTTGGATGCATCTAAATATTTTTAATGGTTAATCACATAATAAAAAAAAATACAATGTAGATGCAGTGTACAATTTTTTATTGAACAATGGTATAGCCAGGAGATAAATCATATTCCTACCAGTACCAGCCAGACATGTTGCAAATTAGAGTCCAATACAAATAAAGGCTTTATCCATACCTGCTTTCCTTTCGACAGTCAGCCTTCTTAATGCCCCAGTTTCATGACATAATTTTATGAACTTGGCTCTGAACTGCTCCAAAGTTTTAAAATTGAGAACTCTTAAAGTCAGACTCCCTGGATCTGTTTCCTCATCTGTAGAATGAGGATAATAATTGTACCTAGTTCATGCGACTGTTGTGAGGATTAAATGCACTAATGCACAGGAGGAGTATAGAACATGGTCTGGAATGTAGTATTGCTATTATTTTGCTTCATATGCAAGTACTAATTGGATCTGCTGGTCTGCTTTTTGGCCCATTCTTTCAGACTATCAGGCCCTAATAGTCCACAGCAGGTGCTGAACCCTAAGAGAGTGACTCTGTGGTTCTCAGAAAATCCAAAGGCAAAAGATCCCCAACCTAATACTGCTATACTTTGGGTTCCTCACAGCTTAAAAAAAAAAAAACAGAGCTTACCCATACAATTTTTTTTTTCTTATTAAGTCCTAATGCATCATAAAAAGACAGACTGGCATTCTTAGCAAATTAAAGCCTTCTAATTCTGTCAACACAAAATAGAAATGATAACCCCAATTTTCAAAAAAACCTTACTACCAATGAACATTGTAAGAGTTCTCATCATTTTGCCCACACTTTGCAAGATGCCTGGTATCCTCTCTGGCTAGTGAAGGAAGCATAAATTGAGAAAAACTTTTTAGAAGGCATTTTGTAAAATATGTACAAAAGCCTTCAAAACCTATATACTTCTGACCCAGACATTCCATTTGTAAGAACATACCCTAAGGAACTAATCATAGATGTGTACAAAGATAATCATATACAAATTGTTCATTTCAGTTTGTACAAAGCTATTAATTAAAAATAGAAACAACTTCCATTTCTAGGAAGAGAGAAATGTCAGTGAGGTATAACATATTTTCTACATCACTGTTTCACAAACTTGTGTGGCATGAGAATCACCTAGGATACTAACTGGACCAACATAGTCCCAGAAGCCCTCCCTGTAAGTTCTGATTCAGTAAGTTTGGGGCGACTGCCAAGGAACCAATTTAAAAAGCATCTCAGATGCTTCTCAAGATAAGGCAAGTTTCAGAAGTACTGCTTTATGTAACAGAATATACATAGGCATTAAAAATGATGAAGTAGAAATATATCTAAATATAAGAAAAAGTTCACAATGCCATGTTAAATGAAAACCAGCTTACTAAATAGATTATGTAGTGTGGTCTCAATTTTGTATTAAAAATGTAAATATAAATAGGAGGACATACACTGAAATTTTTAAGGATGATTATTTCTGGATGGTAAGGTTATGGGTGATTTTATTTCCTTCTTTCTACTTATCTTCAGTTTCTAAATTCTCTGCCATAAACATACATTACTCTTAATACCAAATTAATTTATTAAAACCTAACCATCCATGATAAGCTTCTTTTCTTTCAAAAAGAGAAAAAAACAAATGCAATATACGAGACTACCTCAAAAAGTCTGTAGAAATATTTATATTACCTTTCAATTCTACTTTTCCACAAACTTTTTGAAGTACCCTGGTATATATCTCAACTTGCATTAACATCAGAAAAGTATACATATTGGTTTGCTTTTGTTCTATTTATCATCGTTTTAGAAAGCTAATTTGAATCTAATTACAAAGTGTTTTCAAAACATTTAAGAAATGCTTCCCTTAGAAATAAAACGAGTTGTATTCTCTCTTCTGAACCTCTGTTCTGTAAACAGTTAACAAAAGTTAAGTGATACTATGAAGAATCAATCAAGCAGACTGGGAGGTGGATAGTCCACAAGAAAACTGGCATAGTCTTTTCAAAAAGAAGGAAACTATTCCAGATTTTAAAAAGACTTCAGGTGTGTAACTTCTAAATGTGATACATGGCAGCTGGCCCATGTTAGAGCTGATTAGAGCATAGCCTTAAAACCCCAAGGTTCAGATCCCCGTACTGGCCAACCACCAAAAAATAAATAAATAAATGCAATGCATGGTGCTTGACTAGATCTTCCCTTTAAAAAAAAAAAAGTTAGAAATGATATTCAGGGGACAAATGGAAAAATCGGAATATAGACTGGGTATTAGAAAATTCATTTTTCTAAATTTAATTTTATTAAACCATGCGATGAATGTTGTGGCATATCATTTTCTATTATGTGACAATATTGGCTGGCAATGAAATTCTGAATAGCTTTTGCTAGTCTTAATTCTGTATGTTGTTTTTCTGTGGCTGTCAGGTATGGGGATCTGAACCCTTGGAGTTGGCATTATCAGCACCACACTCTCCCAAGTGCGCTAAGCATCCAGCGCTTAGAAAATTTAGAAATGGTCTATTGTATGAAAATGATATTGTGATCACGTAGGAGAATATCCTTATGTTTTGAAGTCTCATGCTAAAATATTTTGGGGTGAAGTGTCATGACATAAAGTAATTTATTTTATAATCGTTTATTAAAAATGTCTGTAGCTTTACAAAAATCGTAGAACTGCATGAATTTTACTATATATATAAATTATACCTCAATAAACCTGACAATTTAATATAGACTATATTCGAATGTAGAAAAATAGATGGTTATAGATTAGATACTGATGAGATATATGTATAGATGAAGGCAGTAGGACAAAGTGTTTATAATCATTGAATCTAGATTGTAAAAATATGAAAGTCCATTGTACTTTTTTCTACCTATTGTGCTTTTTAAAATCTTCATAATAAAAACCCTAAAAGGTTTTTAATAACTTACGAAGTCATATAGCCATTGATATAATTCTGATTCAATATGCGACCCCAGCAGCCTGCACCCACGTCATTATTTAAAGTGCTAAAATCTTCAGAAGCCCAAAGCTTCTTCCCAGTCAACTTTGCATCCTTTACTGTGTGGGTACCAGGATAATGAGACCTGGAAAAGAAACAGTGAGAACAAATGGGAAAAGTCAGACTGTGGCACTTATCTATTTTTGTTCAGTGAATGAAAATACAAGTCCTCTCCAAGAATTTCTATTTTTAAAACAATTGGGCATCTTCCAAGTAGATGACAGACTGAATATAATCATTTACTTCCCATCCTCTATCTCAAGATGCCCTTAAAATGAAAACAAAGAGAACAAGAGGAGATCAACCTACAACAGCACACAGAATGGGAAGGAAGATCATCAGGGATAAGAAATTTCAATTTATTTCTGGAAACCATAAAATGAATAGAAGTATGTTAATGGATGAAGGCAGCAGAGGAGGCCACAGCCTAGAACAGTCCAAGAGGAGAATGAGGTGAAAACAGGATTCAGACATCCCAGGGGAAGCTAGAGAGCATGGCTCAGTAGGAAGGAAGGAGTAAGGAGGCAGCCAAAAATAAGACTGAGTCTATAAAATAAAGTAATACCCTCTCCCCTGCTCCCACTCCTAGCAGACAGAAAGACAACTCAGCATTTACTCCCAGGCAAAATAAAAAACAAAAAACCCACAGATGATTCTTTCTCGAATAAAAAGAATAAACTACCTTGGGAAAATTAAAAGTTACTACATAAGATCAGCGGTGGTTCTCATCTTGGGTGATGTTTTCCCCCTAAAAGAGATGTTTAGCAATATCTGGAGACATTTTTCTCAATTGTCCCACCTGAGGCAGGGGAGATATGCTACTGGCATCTAGTAAATAGAGGCCAGAAATGCTTCTAAACATCCTTCAATGCACAGGACAGAGCCCCAAAATAAACAGTTATTTTATCCAAAACCTGAATGATTCATTGAATGATCTAAGCAAAGAAGGGCAAACTGATACTAAAATCTGTGTTTCTCCCAAAGTCCAGATCTACTGCTATTTCAACAAAATGTAGACTCTTTAATAATATAATTTTTAAAGTATATAATCAGTTAAAACCTCTACCATTTCACAGCATCATTTTTCCAAACTTCGAATGACAAATAAAATTAAGATCACTGAAAGTAAAACAACTTTGTTTATCCTAACAGAGCAAAATATCTATATTAAAAGAAAATTAGAATTTCTGAACAGAATGGATTACGACAGAGCCCAGTTTCTGAAACTCCCCAGAATTGCTCCCAAAACCAAACAGACTAACCAAATGAGGGAAAGGAAAAACCTTCAGACAATATCTTCATCAAAACTAGGTGTCAGGGAATCCCCAAGAGCCCACAGCATCAGGACTGGGCAAAATAAGCAGAATGTATGTGGAAACTGTAGAAGTAAAAGGCAACCAGAAGGTACTTACCCTCAAAGGAACAGACCCTACCCTAAGTGGCAGCATCAAAGAGTGACTCATGAAACTTCACAGGCTTGCAGTTGGGAGTCAATGCCAAAACCAATGAATTCACTGAGATCAAGCACAACACTGTAACAGTTTAAACCAGATTTGCCCAGTAGAAATACAATGTGAATCACACATGTAATTTTAAATTGTCTAGTAACCACATTTTAAAAACCAAAAGGTTTCTACCTCAACAATAAAAATAATTTTTAAAAAAATTAATTCAATTTAATTAGCAAAAGGAAATTAAAAAATTAAATTTAATGATATAGTTTGCTTAACCTAATATAACCACCTTCTAACACCCAAGAAACTGAGGGACAAACTTCAGCAAAAGACTTGAAGGTGAACATTGAATATGTTTAATGGTAGAGAGAGATTAAAAGAAAGTAATTAAATAGTATATAAATATTACATGCTCTGCTAATGTACAACTAATGCAGCTGACACTAAACAACAAAAGGGGGAAAAGAGGTAAAAGGTAAGCTAAGTTTGCAGATTCCCTGCGAGTACAAGTTTATAACTTGTAGCTCATAAATCAAGATGGTAGAAGCTTAAGCTCATGTAAGAGTACAAAGATTAACACTAAGATAATTCTGGTAATTAAAATTCCATGGCAGGAAAGAGAACAGGAGGAAGAATAAGTTCAAATAATTTTAGTATTGCTTGTAGTAAACCAACAGACAATATCTAAATGAAAAGGAAACTAAGAGTTTTAGTGAAGCAGTTTTTCAATTTCAGCACTTTTGACACTCTAGGCTGAATAACTTTTTGTTATGGGGAAGCTACCCTGTATTCTAGAGGATGTTTAGAAGTATTCCTGGCCTCCACCCATCAGACGTCAGTAGCACCTCCCTTCCTAGCGTGACAATTAAAAATATCTCCAAACATTGCCAAATATCCCTTGGGAGACAAAATTACCCCCAGCTGAGAATCACTGATACAAAGGTATAAATCAGTATAAGTGTGATCAACAGAACCAAAAATAAACCTTGCTAAATAACAAAAGAGACACCTTAAACAAACAAACAAAATCACATAGCAAAGATTTTGTATTAGTACATGCATAGTATAAATCATTCAATTAAAAAGGACAATAGGGTAGCACAGAAAGGAAATGTCAGTTTGGCTTGGTAGCAATATACTCAGTCATAAAAAAATAATAATAATGCTACAATCCGAAGAGGTCAAGGCCAGAGGGCTTAAAGGCAGAAACGGAATAAGGAATAGGGTCAAAGCTATACTACTAAGGAGACATGACAAAAGTTATAAGTCAGTGGTCATACCGAACCATTTACACAAGTGTTCACACATAAACTCCCAGCCACAGGAAACCTGGGAGTGCAGAACTAATTTCACAACACCACCTTTATAACTTCTAAAATTAAATACCACCTCTGCCCCTTAATTAAACAGGGCTTTGTTTAGATTATCCAAACATCAACACATTTTTTTAAAAGTTACCAATACATTTCATTGTCATAGAAAGATCCCAAGATACTCATACATTTCAAAGAGAAAGGAATGAACTATCAGCTATAGATGCTTTAGTAAAACAAATACAAGAGAGCTACCTTCTGAGAATGTAATCAAATGGAGAGCAGAAGGCAAAAACAAAGGCATAGTCAACACCCAGAGGAAGCAATAAGAAACTGCTAGTTTTCAAAATAAAATATTCCTTACCCTATAACATCAACCACCTTCAAGAGTTCAGAGTCAAGTAGCATAGCAGCAGAAATAGGCTGCCAGAGATTATCACTCGCTATGATTTTCACTTGCTGAAGACCTTGATAGTTCAGCATTTTTCTTAACACCTTTTGGTGAGACAAATAAAACACAGAAACTAAGGTTACAAATGAGTTTTTAGCTGTTGAATTACAAGCAACATAGCTAAAGCATCTACAAAAATCAGCATTCTGGACAATAGTTTCAATACTACCTCTCTATAAAAATATGCCTCCTGTGGAAAATAAAAGCATTATCATTAAGACAACCTACTTCCACTTAATGGGAATGTAAAAAGAGGAAAAAAAAAAAAAGGGGATAAAAATGTTTTAGAGAGATTTTACATCTGACTTTAACATTATGTTTAACTGCAGAAATTTAGGGGGACAGGGGAGGTGAGTTGGAGCAACAATAAAAATATTCAAACAGTACTATGCAGAAATAACCACTATTATTTAGGTACACTTTCTTCCAGGAATTTTCCTATGCAGATACAATAATAAAATACGGATCATATAAATGTAACATTTGGTAAAATGCTTTAACCTATCATTTTATTTAAAGTATTTTCCATTATAAAATATTCTGCCATCATTGAAAATAGTAGAGTTCTTACTATTTTGTACCATACTAGAACTAGAAATAAGAAATATTCCATTCTAACCCTCAAGTCTTTAACACTTACAAACAGGACAGAAAATAAAATCTACCTGTAGGATTGTCCACCCACAAAAGTTATGTGACAAGCTAAACTCTAACAGAGAATAAATCAACAAAGCACAAATTGAGCACCTACTCTAGTACTTAGTACTGTAAGTACCCATGAGGTACTTACTAGGCCCCATGAGGACTCTAAAAGAAGCAAGAGATGGGAGCCCTCACCCTTAGGTTGGCAAGCACTCACCAGGACCCCAAAACTAACAGGGTATGCTAGAAAAGTGGAAAGCAGGTAAAGAGCAAAACGTGTGGATTGCCTGTATGTAAAAAAAGAGTAGAGAAAAGGAGACATCATTTTACCCAGGATCAGGAGGATCAGATTTCATACCTGAGTAATCCTCGATGAATGGATACAAATACTCTCATCACTATACATACCCCCAAGCACGTGAAACTGGCATATAGTAGCAGGTGCTCAATACTATCAGTTTAATTAATTAAGAAAAGAAAGAATGAAGAATTTCACAAGCTCTCTTTTCACATTCTAACTTTTCTGAACTAAGGAAATTTCCAATTAATATGCTCTTTTAGGAGCATTAAATTAAATCCACGGTGTACAGTTGTCCCCTGGTATCTCTCGAGGACTGGTCCAGAATCCCTAGGGATACCAAAACCTGAGGATGCTCAAGTGCCTTGTATAAAATGCATATCTGTATACAATCTATGCACATCCTCCCATACACATCTCTAGATTCCTTATAATACCTAACACAATGCAAATGCTATGTAAATAGTTGTTATACTGTACTTTTCTAATTTGTAGTATTTCTATTGTTGTATTGTTATTTTTATTTCAAATATTTTCGATCCATGGTTGGTTGAATGCACATATGCAGAACCCACAGATACAGTAGAGGGCCAACTGCACTTTATAATGAATGGTTTCTTAAAACTGGCGTATTATGGTATTTTAGAAAATGTGGTGAGGTAATCCAAGCTCACCTTTCAAACAAGGTCAGGTGAGTCCTTGGGCACCCTGGAAGCAACATAAACAAATCCTTAATAGTAAATAGAGACCAACTCTCAAGATTTAGGACTGAGAATCCTTATCCCTCTGTTAGATCAATCTTGTATTACATCACCCTGAAGTTCTTCTTTATTCTTACAGAGAAGGAGAAGAGCAACTTAGCCAAATTTGCATCTGTCACTATGGATATATCTAGATTTTCTAATTCTATTCCTAGACAATCACCAGTAAGATTACTTACTTTTTTATAAGGCATATTTGAATAACATTCCAAAATGTACAAGCCTATAAACTGGGATTTATAAATAAGTTTCCATCCCAGAGTCATGAATAGCAGCATTCTTTGAGCAAAATTTAATCTAACATATTTTCAAATGTTTTTGTCGTGGAACTCCTCCCTTCCAAAAAACAAACCAAAAAAAAAAACTTAGACAGAAGCCCTATAAGATAAATGAAAGAGGAGTTATTTTGGTTGAATTCAATGAGGGTCCAGAGACTCACACATCCATTACCATCCACTACCTTCAGATCCTGGTCCAGATTTTCCAGACACAACTTAAAAACCCTAAGAATACTACTGAAAACCAGAGTAAATCATAAACATAATGTAAATAGAAAAAAATTAAAGAAGAAATACCTTTGCCATCTTCACATAAATTTTTTGTATTACATTTATTTCTACTCTTAAAAACAAATCCTTATTCTTCCCCGTATAGTCATCTTAAGATACTATACGGAATGTATATTCATTAGGATTATCCAATCTGAGTACCTACATTCCTTTGTCACTACTGAACTCTTTACAATAGGCATTTCAACAAAAACACAGATCCCAGTAAAATCATGCCACAAAAATAGCAAACCCAATCTAAAAGATTTTATGTCCTCAGACATTTTACTGCGGGAAAACTAAAGGTTAGGAGAAAAGGAAACAAAATTTGAACTGTTCAAAACACTGATCACGAGTCTTAGAGCAACAACTAGTCTTTCAAATCGGGTAAATGAAATCAGAATGCATTGGAGTTAGCAAAAGACTTTTACCACCTCAGTCCCAGATCACTAGTATAAAAGAAAAAAGACACCAGATTCTAATACTTGTAATGCTTCCCTCAAATAAAATAAACACAATTAGAGAGACATACATACAATCACAAGAAAATAAAGCATAAACTCTGAAATGTCAAATTTGGGTAGATAAAAAGTTCATCACTTTTCACTATGAAGACCCTGTAGTGACACCATCCACCTGATTATGGGGTTATATGCTACAATGCAGTCACTGGACTTCTGCTCTGTCCTCTTGCTGCTCTCATCAGACCTACGCTCACAACAGTCATGACTTCCCACTGATAACCTTTGTGCTTCAGTCTTATACTAACTTCACCGCCCCACCTCCCAAACCCATCCTGCCCACAACCACACCCCCAGTACTCTCCTGGTAAAGCCTGCAGCCTGGAACAGTCCTTGAGTTACTTGACTCTGGCTGCAATGGATCCTCTTAAATTTATGCTCTTCCCCCCACACACAACCACAGATTAGTTAAAATGTGCCATTACTCCAGCGAACACATTAGCTTACTGACTGGGACCAGTTCCCCTATTTTTCACCCCTTGTTTAATCCATCCTACATGACTTGCTTTTTCCTCAAATCCCTTTACTTCTCAGTCTTTACTTTCTTGCAAGGGCCACACCCCTGCCTTAGCAACCTGGGGAGTTTCTACCTGTCGCTTCTTGAAGATTCCAACTCCATGTCACCTCCTCTAACAGACATCCCTAATCAACCAAGGCAAAGGTGTCATCTCCTCTGTGTACCTTCTGAGAACCCAGTATGTACATCATTCTGTTAGGGAAACTATAACTGATGTGTTAGTTGTCCACATCTGACTCTATACCCCCCAATATGAACTTCTTTGGGGGCAGAAACAGTACATTCCACCCTTGTATTCCAACTATGTGCACAAAGCCTGACAAACTAGGTGTTGAGTAAATACTTGCAGACTGACTGAATGAATACATGAAAGAAATTTATTGAATATTATCTGCTTAAAAACATAAAACACTCAATTTTAAAAGATTTGTTTAAAAACTGAAACAAAATGTACACACAAAATTATATTTCTTGGGAAAAAAAATGAAACAAGACAAATAGAACTGAAAAGTAGACTAGAGAATAGTTCTCTCTGAAAAGTAAAACTGTCATTTGATTTCCAATGACAAAAGGAGTTGTTATTCTCGGTTTCTCCCTTCCTGAAAAATAGCAATAATAGTAATTACCCCATAGTGGAAGCTGGGATAATTAAATGGAGATAAATATTTAGGGAAGGTGGCTCAAAAATAATATGATTTGCAAATGTTAGTTGCTACCTCTTTGCTAATCACCAAGAGAAGAGTGTTATATAACGCACTCTGATATGCATTCCAAAGAAAACAAGAACAAGAATATGTGCTATAAACTTTGGCATAAGACAATGAAAATAAAAAGCTACATCTCTTGAACTTTTCAAATTCTAAAATGATAAAATTGTTTTTATAATAATTCCAAAACTAATGAATTTTAAAATAAGAAAATTCAGCACAACTCTTCAGACAAAGGCAATTCAGGGCTTACAGAAAATTTCATATGCTTTAATACGAGGAATACAAACATTATTAAGATTTTGTTTGAATTTCATGTCGCAATTAGCAAAACAAATAACTGTGCTATAAGAAACATAATGTTTCTACTACAAATTTCCTATTAACTTCCTACTAATTTCTGTGTGGAACCATAAGGAATTATTCACTAATAATGTGAAAGTAGGTATTAAAGTTATACAGACCTTTATATAATCGCTATCATATGACCTCTCATTCCATATCTGAAAAACAAAAAGTCAAAAAAGTTTGGGTTAAAAGTTTTTAAATGTCAAAAAAGTAGGCATTATCATTAAGATGCCTCTTCTCCCATCATCTTTCATATTATTTGATAAGCCATTTTTCTTACCTTATGAACTATCCTACTAAAGAATTTATAGATATTCATAAGGCAAAATAACTTTTTTTTTTTTTTT